CAGCTTGATGAGTTTGCTTCCGCATGACCGATGCCACTCTCAAACTGAAAATTATCCGGTCACTTAAATCTGTACAATCGCGTTTTAACCTTCTGCTACTTTGGCGGGTGGACTCGACAAGTGTGTCAGTTAATGGGCCAACTGATGGCAATAGTGCATTAGTTGCATTCTTTTTTGTAACAAGCTGGTAGGCAATTAGAAAATTCACTGACACTTTTAATATGGCTCGTTTGGGCACATCAAAAGCATTTGGGAAGTTTGGGGAATGCATTCACATTATCACCCGGTGGAAGTTGATAACGAAAAGAGTAGAAGAAAGCTGGTGCGATGAGTTGAACTCACTAAGAGATCGTTCTGTGCAAAAACTTAACACTCACTGCTGCCAAATAGTGAAAATTAATTCGGAAAGTTTAACCACAGTGTGATCTACTAGTGGAACTATGCGGAACTACTTATTCACACAAAGAAAACAGCTCTTTTGTGAGTGACCGAAATTCTAGAATAATCTACCAGATAATATGAGCATGCACTGACACGTACCGTAATTACGTAGCGTATTAACGCGATGAAGCGGGTGGGTTATTGGTTCACTTGTGTCTTGTTACTCGGCTCTCGTTCGGAAAAAGGTTTCTGCTGACAACTTTTTCACAGCCCGCTTTGCTCCGATGTAAATTTGTTCGCCCACAACATACATGCATACGGAAAGCCTCTCAACTCTGCCGTCATCTAGTGATTGTGATTGCACAGTAGCGAAGCGAACTGACAAGTTCGCTTCTCAGTGAAATTTACCCCCCCCCCTTGAGCGACGTTGCATCATAGCTGTCGTGCATCAAACACGAGTTACCCAACCGACTTGTATCCATCACGTTAACTGACCACATGAGGAACAGATTGAAACACAACCGCTAATTTGTCTTAAGCTTGGGTCAGAACGAGTATTGAGCAATGAATCTCTAACCTACCAATCGTATGTTGTCCAAATATCAGATACGAGACTCCGCAGAAAGTAGAAGGCCATGTATCTGGTTGAAGTCACGAACTGTAAGAACCCCAGACCCCACTACTCAGTGGAAATTATTCTACTAGATTAAAAACTATGGTGTTTTGTATTGAGCGTTCATGACACTGATACGGCACAAAGTCGCGGACAATGGCACGTCTGTATTGATAAGCGGTGCTGTAAATCAGTTTTGTCTCATTCTTCGAGCTTATTTTTCTGACTTCTTTTATCAGCAGCTTTTTTTAGCGATACAGACAGACGCTGCTATCAACAAGAACAGCCAGAATAAACTCACTTTTGTTCATTTACTTTGCAATGGTTTTTCTCTAAAAACAACACAACGAGGGTTAGGTGACTGAGTTTCATTAGGTTTTCCTCTTAGTAATACATCTGTTAAAGCAACTGATCCTCGCCAAACAAACGTTTTCCGATTGGCTATAGAATCTCATACGTTTTTTTGCGAGCATGCAAAAATGTGCTGAACCCACGACTCTTTGAGTGTTCAACATCAATTCGCCTTACTGCTTGCCTTCTGGAATGACCAACAAACTTACACTCTTGACGTATTTTTCTAACTGTGATTAACATTGAATAGGGTAGCATGCGCATCAGACATGATCAGCCGTGTGAGTGCGTGAGTGTGAGTGTGAGTGAGTGTGTGATCATCACGCTACATAATCGTGATACGACTGCTGCGGTTTTTTCCACCAACTTACCAAAAAACCTGCCCACATAACTGCTACTTCTGTGGTGCTCATAGATTTAATTAGGGAGAAGCTCCCTACAAACCTGTGCCCAGAAAAAATGCAAACGATTACTTGCAGATGCTTGATAAGGCCTCAATCGATAGCACTGAGGTGTGGTTCCAATGTGGCCTTACTGAACTCAAATAATAGATATGCTAGACTCGGATTACTGTTACAGCCACCAAAAGTTGCTTTCTTAGTGAATGCTCCCTCGAAAGGGAATTACTCTACTGGAGTAACAGAAACGGTGTTGCCTGTTAACCAATATGATTCATCCCAAAAGAGGCTATTCTTAGTGCAGGCTGAATGCTAACTTTGTACTTGGGGAATCACTATAATCACTCTTATCAGTATTATGTTCATTATAATTATCAGTATAATCACTATCGTAATTTATTGTTGCAGAATGGTAAAATACTTCTCATTTTCAGCGAATGAGAATATTATTATGCCCAAAATTAAGTCCGTTGTTGTTACCAACCCGCTTTTGTGATTACCCGGTCCAAAACCGGGGTATAAATGAGAGCGCTGTCATTTGTAATACACAGTGTAAATTTGTTCAATAACTACTCTAAGCCGCCAACCTTATATCGAATAACATAGAAATATGACATCCAGTGTTGTAAAGATATCCTTATGGGCCAAATTCCTTTTAGTGTGTCGACTTAAAAACGTTCGAACCGAGCTAGCTGTGTTTACTTAGTCCCACCCAATCGTCGACGGGCTGCGTGAGTCATGATTATTAAAACAACTAACGCGTCGATCTGTTACAACTTGGGCGACTTAATTTGCTCACCTTAGGTACTTCTCAGCGGGGCTACAATGGAGTTCTTCAAATCTGTTGTGTTAATCGAGAAGTCATCACACGACAGAACACCATTAGTTCCTGACCGAAGCAATTCAAGCTACACCGTTTACCCGAACGGCGAACATAGTGGGATTATAACATGTCTGACTGTTCACCCTAATTCTTCGGTTCACTGGAAACCTTCTACGAGCTCGTCCTGCCAAATAGTTCCCACTTCTAAGACTTGAGTCTTTGGTCGAACCTCCTTACCAGTGGTAATAATATACCACTAACATGGCCACCTATTGGAACCTTTTCATGAGCTGCGCTTGACCGGTGAACTGGGTATATGCAATTTGAATGCCACAATTCAACATCTGCCGACGTGAACATTGTTTTTCAGGACTTTCTCTTGCTAACTGGTCATCGCAGTCACAAGCCCTCTATCTTGGACATTATATATATATATATATATAACCAGTGCGCTCCTTTACGGCCCACCCATTTCGGTGACAGTTATTTATGCACAAGAAGCAGTAATTTGCATAATGGTGTGAGTGGCTGCTAGCTACTTTAAACTGTGTCACTTTCATGCCTAGCTGCAATTGACCTAGCTGCGATATGATGCGACACCGCACAACAGTATTCTGGCTTGGAGATATCGTTTGAACAATATAACGGATGCACTGGGATAGATCTCAAGTAAAGATCATCCCACATCGAAAGGACACAGAAGGCCTGTGAGGTGTTGGGTAAGCAATCAGGTATGTGTTCAACTTCCCATGGGAATGTGTAAGCTACTCCCATGTTCACTTCAATGGTGAACTGCTCGCATGCAGTCGCGGAAAATAGTGCGCACTGCTTTCAGCGCCGTAGCAATTAGGTCATCAACCCATGTGTGGAGAGGCGAATCGGTCAGTTAGCGAAAAAAAATGTCAACTGTTTGTGCACAATATTGCCAACAACGAAAAGACGCTGTAAATAAAAGAGAGTAACCAAAGGCCCCCGCGAAGATTATAGAGCCAAATGAGAGCAGAGATAAAATTATGCACGCAAATAAGCATGAGAATTGCTTTGGTCTTTCACTTCAGGGAACTGACGTAGGCCGAAATGTACTTCACAGCGCAACGTTGCAAGAAGACAGGGTGGACTACAGAGTGAATCGCGCGAATTCTGACGTGGATTCGAAGTGAAGATGATCGCGCAAAGTAGTGTAGTAGTCTTTTAGTTGTGATGCGATTTCGTCATACGACTTCTTACCTCTTTAAGCTCAAATTCAACTTCCTGAGATTTCACAACGAAAAGACGCTGTAAATAAAAGAGAGTAACCAAAGGCCCCCGCGAAGATTATAGAGCCAAATGAGAGCAGAGATAAAATTATGCACGCAAATAAGCATGAGAATTGCTTTGGTCTTTCACTTCAGGGAACTGACGTAGGCCGAAATGTACTTCACAGCGCAACGTTGCAAGAAGACAGGGTGGACTACAGAGTGAATCGCGCGAATTCTGACGTGGATTCGAAGTGAAGATGATCGCGCAAAGTAGTGTAGTAGTCTTTTAGTTGTGATGCGATTTCGTCATACGACTTCTTACCTCTTTAAGCTCAAATTCAACTTCCTGAGATTTCCGGGTTTTTATTTGAGGTGGTGCTATCAACCATCCGCAACGAAATCAGCCGAGGAATTCCCTGTTGGTTATCTGTTCAATTACATCTCATATTCAAGAAATAAAACTATGCAAGCATCCAACTAGTGATTTTTGATGATCGCCTTGCGCAATCATGCCACTTCGGCGTATAGTTCAGTCGTGCCTAGCGAGACGAATTGTGATTCAATGATGTGTCTTGATGCCTTAACGGTCTGCCCACGAAGAAGTCCCGCAAGGGGAAGCGTTCCTATCCGGGGAGTTAATTCGGGCGGCATGGAGAATTCCGCATCGAAGAAACAGGAGGCCAAATTAGAGGCATTAAAATCAGTGGTATATACGGGAACAAAATTTAGACGCACTCGTAATTTGTAAGTTCGTTTGCCATCGAACAGGGGGAAAAGTGGAGCACGATTTGGTTAAGTTCACACCGAATTGTAACGGCGATGGTTAAAGTGACTAATGATGACGACCGAAATTACTCACAACTGCTCCAGTTTTACAACTAGAATGGTGAGAGGGGCTTTTCTTCGGCACTCCGTTATACTAGTCTTACAAAACTAAACTTTCTGGTATTCGGGTTATCAATGCGAGCGGGTTCCCTTACAGCACAGTGAATCAGGTTTTACGGCCCAGCAATGAGCATGTAACCGATCAAAAAGAAAAAATTCCATGGTTGGGAGGCAGATGTTTATGTATAGGGCAAAAAGCCAATAAAATATAAATGCTGCTATTGAAAGTCAGGGGACCGTCAAATATACAAGAGTGCGGGCAATCACAATGGAGTACAAATCTTCCAGATGAACTGTACAGTGTTTCGTCTTCATCTACATTGCAGAAGAGTCATTTGTTCTTTTTGTGATGAACACACATCGCAGGTGCAGGAGAAAGTGTTTTTTCGGAAGCCAACTATGTCATTGGCAGTGCTGTTCTTGAGTGCGCCAAATCTGAGACGATTTATTAGGACAGCGTCTGGTTTGAGTTCTTTGATGGCTTTGCGCAACGCTGCATTCAAATCTGAGTCCACGTACATGTATGAGTGTGCCTGAAGGTCATTCTTTTTAGCAAGGCACATGAGTTCTCGGCAAGCATGTTTCCCGTCTTCTACTGAACTGGCGGAAATCTTCATAGTCGTACCAATCAACATAGGCAAACTGAGATTCTTCGCAAATTTGTTCGGCTTAATTGTGTGAACAAAAATGAGATAGTCTCCATCTTGTTTAGCATGACTGAGATACCAGTCGAATACATTGATCATTCGTAACTTCGAGCTGATAGGGATGAGAACCTTGCGTATGGTTGGAGCCGCTGAGTTGTGAACGGTATCCGTCGCCATGCTGTTGATACGAGCGACCACTTCTAACTAAACTAGCGATTGCAGAAGCAGATTTATAGATCACTTGCTTGATCCCCATAGTGTGCTATTGGTCATCCAAAAACTGAAACGCCATTGGCTGCAGATCATGGGTGAAAGCCAAATCGGTACCTTAGTTTGAAACTCATCTGATGGTTTGTTTCTTTACTCAAGTTTCTATGATTCAATCCTAATGATTCAAAGTGTGTCAAACCAAAAGCCGGAAGAATATTAAGCCCAAAACAGGTAAGTAAAGCTTGAACAGAAGTGACTTGACGACAGACGCACGATAAAGTAACGGTCAAAAGGGTCAAAGCAAGAAGTTTACTAATCACTTAACAAACCATTGGGGCCAATAAAAGGATTGTGCAAAGGAAGCTTCCAATTTGTACCAAGGACTTTTACACGAATGAACCCTCTTGATATGTGACTCAGTAAGCGAAAGCCAAAAGACATCCTGGGGACGATCCGCCAACCGGATCCATTGTTTTCTCGCTGTTTGGGCTATGTGGATCAAAGTTGAGTACTTTTTACACTGGTGCTACTATACAGACAGTAAATTTTTAGAGGTGAGTGTCTACTTTACATGATCTCGTTGAGGAACAAGTGACTGCATTGCGTACCGCCAGATGGCGTCGTCGTCATAAAAATATAGGCAGGGACAGATGGGTGGTAAATCGATCAGTAAAGGACATACGTTCATGTCTAAGCAACTCAATGTACCCTTCTTTTACGGTTCGTCTGCCTAATGATACAGCAACTTTTGGCTATGCAACACCTGACCCGACAAGCATATGAGTAGTGTAGGTGCGTCTTGTCCCGGAGGATAGGGCCCGCTTGACACCCCTTCCCTTGACAGGAAACGCTATCAGAGGCATTCTTTTCACAGAAAGCAAACCTCAGCGACAAAACCTCAAACGTTAGCTGTGGTATATTAGCAAACACAGAAGCACACGTGGTTATTGTATTCGTAGTGCATTAAATGATGACAGGCGGAAGCAAGCTGATCTGGCTGTCCGTCAGAGACAAAGTCAATCGGCTTGATGAGCGGCTGGTGCTTTTCAGGTGGCCAGTCTTCACGCTGAATACGTGTGCCCACTTGCTCACAAGATCATGGATAGAAATGGGGATCGTACTCTAAACCTGCATGAATTCAAAAGTGTTCCCAAGTTCAATGTTTCTCGCCGATGGATTTCAATTTTCGCGTGCTAGATCTACACAAACAAACAGTGAACGAATGATCTTATCGAAGCTTCAGTAGTGATGAATCTATCAGGGATCTGTTAAACATTCTCCTGTGCGACTGACCTTCCACAGAGAAACCGTATTGCGATGACAAAAGCCGATTAATAATACTGATAACAGGATGGCGAGCATGATCTCTGTCTCACCACCCCCTCCCGCCAAACTCAAGGTATCTTTTGGGATGTAAGCGTGTACCGGAAGAGCACGTGAAGAATTAGTTTGTGTAAGGCATGCATTCGAGGGACAAATGGTGAATATTCGTGTAACTTCAGATAGTGTCTTCTCCAAGCGCTTTTCAAGGACGATAAAAAAGAAAACATGAAGTTGTTTCAAAGTATGAAAAAAAACTACCATGTCCCATCACATGTTTCCCCTAGCTACAATAGAAAACACTTAGCGAATAAGTTTGTTTTAGAGAGATGATTGTAACTTCTACAGATAAACTTTCTTGAGTTGTCTATGTTTATGCTGAAATCTGCAAACGAATTCCCGTATGATGTGGCAGTGAATTTAAAACAAGTAAAGCACCTCCAAAGTTAAAATTTGTCCACTCTGGGGAAAAATTTCGCGTGTTTTAGGGGTAAGGGGGTTGTTTAATGATCGGGTCAACAGTCGTTGTGTTAAAAAGTTACACAAATGAACTTGGTGGACTTGATAGCTACTGACAAGTTCACACCAATTATGGGATCGTTCTTGGCACACGTGCAACGAATAATCAGGCTGAGTCTAGTGAGCACTAACTCGAAGAATGAGTTTGCGTGCACACTGTCTTACGAGTGATCACGCATCAAATGGATGAAGCACACAATGCCATGTGGTACTCTCGTTTGTGGACTAGATGGCGGAAAGTAAAGGGCGCGCTACGAAGTAATCCTAATGTTTGTTTTAGGGCTCATTCATTATCATTTTCAGGTGTGCTTATGAGGAAGACAGTGGTAATCATATGAAATGTGACTCTCAGCTTGTCTAAAACGTACGCTGCTTGGATGGTTGTGCCAGAAAATTTGTCAAGGTGTTTGTCTAGCCTGGTGAACCTACTTTGAGTTAGCCTTCGTTAGCCTTCACCGATAAAGGGTGGATAGGATAACCGAAATGTCCAGATACTGGATGATATTCTAAATATCCCGGAATATTGAAAGGTCGTGCACATTGACTTATAATCGATTGACTGACTATTGGTCTGTATATCGAGCTTGGCGGTTAGTTTGCAAATACCTCGTCACCAATCGAGGAGGTTTCAGTCTCAGCTGGATTGTGGGATTGAAGAACTGTTCGTCGGAGAAGGCCGCTTTCTTTTCGTTCCGTGAAACTGTCAGGAAGCTAAGAACGTCAGAATCGCGTTTAAGTTTCAACCACAGGCTACTGAAAAGGTAGCTTATTTCCAGAACCGCCACTATAAACGAAAAAAAGTTAATTCTCGTTTCAGAAGGTTTGGTAAACAATCGGTCGTTTTTAATTGAGCAACTTTTTTGCTTTGGACACAAAAGTTTCATCAGGCCAAGTGAGCAAGTCATCAGTTTGGTCGGGTTCTAAGGCAGACGAGGAACCAATCGGTAAGAAGTCTTCATATTAGCACACAAGATCAATGTTGAGTGTCCACTACCTGCTCTTGTCGGTTAGTGTTGTTGCCATATTCTGGCATTGATGGGCTGAGGGAGTTTAAAATTTATTAGGATCGGATTAGGTTCCTTAGTCTTCCACATCAAGGTGTTTCAATTGATGACTCACTGCTGAGACCACCAGTAGATTTCGTTGGTCTTTGTGGGCTTTTGGGTGTTGTGACAATTCATTTTGGGAGAAGGGAGGTGGGTGAGGTTAATTGGAATTCAGATGATGATTACTTCTTCTGATAACTTCACACCAACACGTGTCAGCTGGACTGATCCTAAACCGTCCTCCAGTTCCGTTGCCAGTTCAACGCCGTCTAGTCGGTTCACATTGGGAGGCTTGGCGATTTACACCGCCTCAGCCATCAGTCTCTGGCGTGGACTGTAGTCCTCGTCTCAAAATCTCAACATCTTTTAAATCTATTTTGCCTCGTACGCAGTGAACGTTTTGTCATTGCCGAGTCTTTTAGTAACGCTCTATATTCATTTGCGTTTCTCGACGGCAGTTAGTCTACTTTATTTTCAAACGCCCACCAATGATTTTCTGGAAAGCACTCAATAATAAACCACTCGATTTTCGACAAGCAAGTTCAACTAAGTCCCTTATCCTGTCATTATTCAGACCGTTTTGCTTCAGTAAAGTGACGTGTTCGAATAAGCCAGAAGCTAGCTCGCCAGGGCTCTTTTTCCTGTTACCCGGATCCATATTTACTTGGGCTTGCGCAACTCAATCCGTCAGGATTCGGTTCAAAAATCTCAGTGCCCCAGAAGTAATTAATTTCTTCTGAGGCATTGACACCTACGATATAACCAACAAGTTTCCAGTTTGTTCTTGGGCGACAGACAAGAAATTTTTCTTTGACCTTTAGGGAAACCAACACATACGTCGCACGTTGACAACAAGCCCAAGGTCTAATGCGGTCATCCTGTAATTTGAAACCTTTACTTGACTTGGTAAAATATTAATTCGTTAAAATGACACTTATCCAAAGGGCATCTCTGGAAGTTAGTTTATAGCTCAAATCAGTCCCAGTTGACCAAATAGACAGTAACAGAAATAAGAGTTGCATTTTAGTGAATCAAGAGATATCGGACCAGTCTTTCAATTAGTAACCAAAAAAGTGACCATTCTGCTACTGAATGAAAGTGGCTCTGATTTTTATCCGCTTTTTGTTTTTGCCATTCCCCTTGACATCTATCAACTTGAATTTTTCTGGCGGCCATTGCAAAGCAAATTGCAACAAGAGTGTTAAAATCTTACCTAAACACCGAAATTGTCTATTGCGTCACACACAACACTATTGAACAACGTAGCTCCCGCTGTTTTTGAACAGGACGACTTCCATTTAATTTTAGGATTAAGCTAAAATTGAAGTACTTCATCGGAAATCGCTAATACATCTGGCTGACTTTGGCACAGTTTTCCGTTGTCTGCCGACCACCCCTTGTAATTTGAAGTCTGGTCGACGTGCTTTACCTTATGAAGCCTATCCAAACGGTTATTCTATCAGCGAGCTGCTGAAAACGAATCACCCAACTGGTAGGTTGATTCCGAACGTGACTCGCCGTTATAGTATTCGCAGCAGAGTTCATCTCTCAGCTGGCCTTGTTTTCCAGTCCGGTCAGTTTGCTGTTCCAAATCACCAGTGATAAACCCCCAGTGATAAACTATTCTGTCCCTTACGCCCAACCTTGTGCAAACATCTGTGAGGCGTTTCATGTAAAAAGGTAATTATAGAGTTATAAGCATACAATAACTCATTCTTTACCGTCCAAAGACGTACAATTTAAAGTTATTTGTCCCATGCTACCTCCGAAGAAGAGCAGTGAAATGGATTTTTTGACCAAGGTTGGTGTATGCAATTTTATCTCCCGTATCAGTGTCACGTCGGTAGATTGTTCCATGGGGCATTAGGAAAAAAATCAACCAAGTCATATCATTTCAAGTAAAGACCGATGAGTGAAAAGTACGAGATGATGTGCGAACTGTACAGGTAATTTACGAGGTCCCCTTCATAAGTTGTTTGGTCATTTACATAAAGTTCTTTCCCGCCTCCAACTCACAAAAGAAACTTGGCCACTCACATAAGATGTGTGAGTTGCACCCTCCAGGCGAAATGTAGTAGGAAG